TTTTTTTTTTTTTTTTTTTTTTTTGCTAGAAAAGTCCAAAATCTTAAGGTGGATTACTACTTTTCAACATTCGATTTGAGTGCACGATGTGCGCGCTATCAAAAACCGCTGAATAATCTTTACGATTTTATTGAAGAACCATATATGTTTTGAACTTCAAGAGGGCGAAAATTTTGCACGGGACTCCATATTTTTTTGTTATTTTCCATAAGAACAGGTAATATCCTATTATTTTTCAAAGTTTAAGACAATTCTGTTTATCAGAACAATGTAAAAATAGTTCTGTTTGTTTCGTGCTCAATTTTTACGATAACTTGCACACCGTAGAACCTGAATTTCTCCAATGTCTACAATAGCTTATTAAAACAACTTTTATCAGTATTTTATAAATATAGTGTAAAACCAAAACATTAAATTTAACTTTAATTTAAAACTTGTTTGCATCTATATATAGGACCGACTAGTTGGATTTGACTAAAACTATTACTCCTCTCGCCCTCATGGCCTATGAGTCATTAGAGGCTTTGCAACATCACGTGATTGCAGCCATGACAGGGGGCAGGAACAATTGAATCTTATATTCTAAATCGCTCCCCCGCTCAACCGAACATAAATCACTTATAATTTAATACTACACAGACTTTAGGAGATTGTCCACACGACAGCGCGTGCGTGCTTTATTGAACTCTGTATCATAGAAAGAATATATTACACACATTGGTTACTTATACTGAATGAAATGAAATGAAATGAAATAATATAGTGGTGACAAATTCATGCATTATAATTAAGTGTTTAAGTGCAGGATTGCCAATATGTATAATGTTAGCATAATAACCAGCTTACTACATAATTTCCTTTATCTAACTTATCTCCCTTACATTTATTTATTTATTTAAAATTTGCACGACGCAGAAAGGCCGTTGAACGCGAATGCCTTATTACACAACCTCAGCTCTTAAGTATTAGCGTCTCTTAATTCCCTAGTGAATCCCCTTGCATTCCAATATGCCTATTCGCTAGTTAGTAAACAATGCTAAATGCATTAATCTAATCTGTTTTACATGAGAAAGAATTACGTTTCCCAGGGGGAAAAGACTSTATCAAGTGAGGTGCAAAGCATTGACTCATAGTCCATTCGGAATCTTGGACTGATTGCTAATTAATAGAAGACGGATGTTTAACAATTATTCGCCGAAGGTGAAGTGAATATCAATGGATATTTACCAAGCTGCGAGTTAAATATTCCCGGCCACTGAGCCCGAGTTCAATAATTGTTTTAATACAATTTTAGTAATTCTAATAAAATGTAAAACTTTAATATCAAAACACAATTCAGGTTAAAAAACTTAAAAAACGTTTTAGCATTACTTACTTTTGCAAACTTTGAGAAACCTCATATCACTGTTCGAGCAGTGATTATTGTCTCGTAGTCACTGGTCGCTCGACTACTCACAGCAAATTCTAGGATCTTCGTACGCAAGTCTCAAATTATGCTAATATCTATTTATTGGATTTTAGACATGACATACCTCCTCCTGGAATTATGGAAGAAGGAGAACCATTGGCAACAGAGGAGTCTTCCAACCCTTTCTTATTCACCTTCTTTGCAGCTCCAGCAGCCATGCTATAAAAAAATAATGAAAAAATGGTTCATAAGCAGAGTGCATCTATCAAGCTATGGATGCATGCGGGAGATGAGGCTGCTTAGCACGAGAGAAGCTTAATGAGCTCGGCGTTTGAAAATTCACGAAGAATGTTGGTGGTTGCTCAGCACCTTGTATAGGCGTACATTTGTTTTCGGTCATTTCTCCAGTATAGTTTGTAAAACTTTCTTTATAATTATCGCCCAAGAAATAGAAAAGCTTTGATTTTTTTCGCGCATGGAGAGGAAAAAGAGAAAAATTCTGACGTCAGCGTGCTACCCATGGGGATACGCGGTTTATAACTTAGCTATATTATTTAACAATTATTCGCCGAAGGGGAATTGACTATCCGTGGATTGTTATATAGCTACGGAATTTTCCGATATAACAAACACTCTCATTGGTTGAAAGATGACCACGTGACACTAGTTAAATCTAAATGTTTCCCGACCGGGAAATAAGTTGCACGTGACAATAATCGTGACAATAAACAAGTTCATGTGATCAGAACGTGAAAATCGCTGATGGCGTGATATTTTGCACCAATCACAAACATCAGAGCGGGAGCAGATATTTTGCTTAAATTTTCAGTCCAAATGGAGCTCGAAGCGAAACAATAGAGATTTTCCAGTGTTTCTACAGAGAAATTACAGACTTTAACTATTGAGAAAAAGGATTTGGAAAATACGAAAAAAGCGACTAAAAATGCTGTTGCTACTCTCCTCGCTTTTTGGTAGAGAAATACAAGACCGTATGTGAGTTGTATTYGTAAAATCATGGTCAGTTTTCATGCATTTAGCTTGCTAAATAAAGTCCTTATTTCGTAAACCGACTTCTCAATATTTCTCAATTGCTATATAACAAAAGACTTAATGTCTGGTCCCTCGGGAAATTAGTTGTAAATATATTTGGTTTGAAATTTTATTTGAAGTTCAGCTATATCCACGATAATCAATATGGATAGCTTATGTCAGTTGATGGTTTTACCGTATATTTTCATGATGTTTCCGGAAAATTCAAAACGTTTTCGTACACAAACTGCTACCAGATAACTTAAGTTTACTTTTGCAAAATTTCATCGAGTTTCGATAACTATTTATATTATGAAAATCGACTTTTTCAGAGATAGGTAGCAAAATGCATACTAATCAGTAGAAGGAAGAAAGAAATTAATGAACGAATGAATGAATGTAATAGAATAAGTGATATTTATCTAATAATCGATATTATTCTAATAATAAATATTAATTTAAATATAAATATCAAGTTAATGATTAATATTAATTTAATCATAAATATTAAGCTATTATCAATAAATATTTATATGTTATGAAAATTTCGTTTTTAGTTTTACTTATATTTTACTTACCAGAAGAGAAAAATGAAAATTGAGCAAAAGACAAAAATGTTCCTTGAAGCCATTTCCACCTGAATAACGTGGTTTTCAAAGATAGTTTATTGTTGATAACCTGAATAAAATATGAATGGATGAAAACCTGATTAGAGTAGAATTATTTCGTTTTAATTATACAACTTCTCATTAATCCTATCTAGGTAACTGTCCAATTATTTTCTTAATTGGACAGGTCTTGTCGATATGGGATTAATTAGGGAGCTATATGATTAATAGGTAATGGGATTTCATGCTCCCCAATCAAGAAATAATTAGACTCGAAAAATTCCTCTGACTGCCAAATTGGACTCGGCCTACGGCCTCATCCAATTTTGGAAGTCCTCGGAATTTTCCTCGTCCAATTATTTCTTAATTGGACAGCATGGAGTCCTATTACATATACTAATRCCAACATAATTTTAATGAACTATAAAAATACGAGTATTTTAAGTAACAGCGAATGAAGTAAAAGAATAACCAAAATAAAACATCAAAATAAAATGGAAACAATGAAACAAATAAAGAAATAATAAATAATAAATAAATAATAAATGAAACCAGTAAATTATTAGCAATTAGGAGTGGTTGCACTGATTGGCTCATCTTTAACTGCATATCAAGCTTTACTCTATATGTTAGTGTCGAAGCTGGATAGAGAAAGCTCATTCCATATATGGTATGATCAATTCCATATTTGGATTTTGGGGAAAAGCGGCGAACAAAAAGGCCGTCGTTTGATAACGAATTCGACATGAACATTTTTGAAAAAGAAATGAAAAGAAAAAAAGGCAAGTAAAAAAAGAAAAAATACTTGAACAACGAAAATAAGCAAAACTTCTATGGTCGTCAAAATAATGAGGGGACCGGTTTGTCTGACTTGAACAACGAAAGAGAGAAAAGTGTCTAGGGTCGTAAAGATCATCACTGTGGGGGATTGGTTTCTCTGACTTGAACAACGAAAGAGAGAAAAGTGTCTAGGGTCGTAAAGATCATCGCTACGGGGGATTGGTTGTCTGACTTGAATAACGGGAGAAAGCAAAGTGTCTAGGGTCGTAAAGATCTTCGCTATGGGGAAATCATAAATAAAAATGTTAAATATTTTCTCTAAACATTTATGACTTAACAATAGTTATAGAAGCAAGTATGCAATATAATGAATACATTTTCACAAACAACCGACTTACCTTTGTTCCAGCGTTGGCCAACTGTAATGTCTGTTCATGAGGAATATACGCGTTTTATACGTGTTTTATGACATAGCACCTGTTGTTGTTAACTCATACGTATACTATGAACTTTATATTAAAGTCGTATTATACAGGTGTTAAAATGTTGGTATTGTCAATGTTACAAACCATTGGAAATTGTAATTAATGCGTGTTAATAAGATATTTTTGGAAGCTGCATAAACCCTTCCTTAACAGAAAATAGTTTTTGAAACTTGGAAAATACTGGAAGATCCTAGAAATGATTTGATTACCAAATACGTTTTTACCTGATATAACTACGAGAAACAAAAAGGAAAAATAAAGCAAAAAAGAGAAAAAAATTGTTACCGGTATACCTGTTTAGTAAAAATACAATGAAGAAAAAAAACTGTTACCTTGGACCGGTGGAAAACTATGGTGAAGTACTTATTCCTGGTTACTTATTTTATTACAATGGGAAATTTATAACAATAATATATACCAACGCGTGAAAATATGAATTTTGTCAAAAGGTCTCGGAATATTGTTACAACCTTTCCCTTTCAAATTTGGAATTACGTTGAAACGGGTTTTTGACATACAAGTTTGGACATTAAGATTTTTTTCTTTCACTCACCTGTTGCTTTACTGGAATTTAAGATTGTCATTTGCAGTAAACGTGTAACATCACCATTGAAAGAATATTTAAAATGACTGAAAAATTATCACACAATTATCCAAGTGCTAGATAAACATAACATTATTTGTCTTTGGCGAAAAGGTTTACACAAATCGAATTGAAATACAGAAGAATGATGAAAACATGGCCAGTGAAGTTTTCCGTTTGGGGGAAGGTAACAACAGGAATCCAAACCGTCCATTATCGCGCATCTTCTCGGGCACAGAAAAATACATTTAGAGCAAGCCGTAAAATATGAGTCATCATATATATACTTCCATCTGGCTTAACCTGAAAAATATAGACTTTTTTCTGGTCAGTCTTAGTCCCCGTCCACACTATGCCGGATAAATTTGAATCCGAATTTTTATTTATTCGGTTCCATTTCGAAAATTCGTTTTCGGTGAAGAATTGTTCTAGTGTGGACTAGTGTGGACGTTGTGTAACCGGGGTCAGTTATTCTCTGGATTTCTCCGGGGTCAGTTATTCTCTGGATTTCTCCGGGGTCAGTTATTCTCTGGATTTCCCCGGGGTCAGTTATTCTCTGGATTTCCCCGGGGTCAGTTATTCTCTGGATTTCCCCGAATGACGAAGACTTCCAAGCCCTACTTTGCTCGAAACTTTGCCTTTCTCTGATTTCATTAGGGTCTTGACGACACTGCATTTTCTCTACTCTTGGAAATCCTACAATCTTTTGTTTGTCTTTAAGTCTATCGGAGACACGGAGTATGCAATTTATAGATGACGATTTCTCTCGCAGTTCGATACGTTTGTCGACCACACCGTTTGTCTGGCTGGTCCCTGTGTCTGGTTGGCCAGTGGTAACTTTGTGTTGACAGACTTCCTAACGAGATGTGAAACTCTCTCAAATTTGATTTTACGCCATTTCTATATATTTAAAGGAATTAATATACATAGATATTGATATATAGTTTTATTGAATTTCAATGAAAATTGGCAAAGAGCATGGATAACGTATGGAAAAACAGAAGAGTGTGAGCGGTTTTTTTAATATTATGATTATTTAGTATTTTACGCGGTAATACGTCAACAGACTTTTTTCGACACTCGCTTAATAATTTTTTTAAGAAAGGGAAAAAATAAAAAAATAAAAAAATCGCTTACATCTTTTTGTAGCTTATCTCTCGCTAGTTCACAAAGTGCAATTACTTTGGCTATACGCTATATCCCCATTAATTCACATCTACGGAACGTACCCAATTCGTGTTTAAGGCTCCGGCATTCTTTTAGATTGTGAAATCGCTTTCAAAAAGTATAGCTTTCATAATCTTTATTATATGACCTTTAAAACGAACGGATATAGTTATATAGGTTGAAAGTGTTATGTAGAGAGAGTTTTACTGCGATTCCCAGTCACACGCGACCAACTAGACCTTCATCACAAACGAAAAATTGAATTTGGATGGACGTCAATCAAAAGGGTTTCTATCGTTTTTATTGGTTTCTACACCAGGACTGATGTGAATACTCACGTGAACACGTGCAAATGTGCAAAAATCGTTGTCCTTATCTCATGCTTCTTGTCGCTGTGAATTTCTCACTTTGGATATATATTTTCTTAAGAATGTCACAGGATTCCGGCTCCGAATCTTGAAACGCTTGATTGCAAAGCTATCGGTATGGATATGATTTGAGTTTCTTCAAGATAGGATAAGTCAATACTGATAGTTTGCARTTAAACGTTTGAAATTCGGAGTCGGAATCCTTAGACATGTTTAAGAAACCCTTTTGATTGACGTCCACCAAAACTCAATTCTTCGTTTGTGATTTTGGTCTCACTTGGTCGCGTGTGACTGGGAATCGCAGTAATCGTGATGTAGACTTGAAAATATCCAGTAATTAAATACACAAACCAATATCGCTTGAACTAAAGCTAAGATAAGATTTAAGCCAATCATGAAAGAAGAAAATCAGTATCATATTGACCTCATCCAATCACAGTCTCTCGTTTTACGTGGTAGTCGATAACATCTAAGTATTTTCTCAAATATCTAGGCTTTGCTGCTTGATCCTGATTGGTCAAAGTTTGATTTAAGTTTGATTCCTTTGTTTTCAATCTACGTCGTAATTGGTTAAATTTCTTCTAGTGGTCCCCGTAAATGTGTCTGCCAGTAAATACATTGATAAAAACTTATTTTTTATTTTTTCGTTTTAATGAAACATAAATCTCGCTGAGGGAAAAACATTATTTTCTCCAAGTTTATATGATCCAGTAATATTGAGAAAGAGATATACTTTATTCAGATATTTTTTACGGTTGTAAAAGAGAACCTTTACAGAAAAATTGAAATATTGATGCCAAGCCAATAGGAAGTGAAGGCCTTTCATAACAAACTAACGCCCAAAAAAATGACCTTTTTTCGCTTATTAATAGTAGGACCACACAAGCGGCAAACTGCTGTGAATCAGCGAGTCTTTTTTAGAAAACAGCATCGATCGATCGATTTCAAAATACGAAAGTAAATTGAAGAAAAGTGCCCCAACATATCAGTCGAAACCTGTCCAGACATTGCAAACTTATTCATAGAAATGTTAATAGGTATTGTTCGTTTGGTAGAAATAATGTTGACTAATGTTGACTGCATCATTGGGCAACTGGAATTATAACAAATTCACATCTGTTTAACCCTTATTTGCCTTTTCCCCGGTAGTCTTAAGAGTGTTTTTCAGTAAATTATAATGTAAAATCAAAACTACTTGCAGAAGAGCCATGCCCTGACTTAGACCAGCCCAGAGGTKGTTTCAGGGTTCAATCTGTGAGTTAGCTATGCCCTGACTTAGATCAGCCCAGAGGCTGTTTCAGGGTACAATCTGTGAGATAGCCGTGCCTTGACTTAGATCAGCCCAGAGGTTGTTTCAGGGTTCCATCTGTGAGTCGGCCATGCCCTGACTTAGATCAGCCCAGGGGTTGTTTCAGGTCTCGATCTGTGAGTTAGCCGTGCCCTGACTTAGATCAGCACAGAGGTTGTTTCAGGGTTCCATCTGTGAGTTAGCCGTGCCCTGACTTAGATCAGCCCAGGGGTTGTTTCAGGTCTCGATCTGTGAGTTAGCCGTGCCCTGACTTAGATTAGCCTAGAGGATATTTCAGGGTTTTTGTAGCTGTTATCGGAACCCAAAATTAAATTGACAACGAGCCCAAAAATAGTTTGATAAACATGCGTTTATTTTCCCGTTTATTGCAATCAGTTGTTTGCTACTTCGTTCTTTATCCACGGAAGGAGATACTTGACCTTGGCATAGACACCAAATTTACCAGGTTTAGCGCAGCCATTACCCCAACTGGTAGCCCCATGAAGATAGAATCGACCTCCATTTTCACAGACCATTGGTCCACCAGAGTCTCCTTGGCATGTGACAATACCACCCTTGTCAACACCAGCACAAATCATAGAATCGTCGATTTTATATCCATATGCTCTGACACAACGAGCACGGCTAGCAATGGGGACAGACACATGTTGAAGGTAATCTGGGGATGGCCCTCCTGATGAAAGGTGCCCCCATCCTGTGATTGAGCATTGGGTGCCATCAGTTGGAGCYGGGTCAGTTTCAGGCAGACAAACCAGATTGACGTGTCTGCAGAAGAGATTACAGAGAGATCATTGTCTAAAGGTGAATAACTGCTTAAAAAAGTAATTTAAAAAACTTTCTTAGAAATTGTAGCATCTTGACAAGTTCTCGATCAAAGACAAATTGCAGAAACGAAAAACGAAAATGAACATATTACACAATTACACAATTTGGTTGCATAACTAGAATTATACAGCTCAATTTTCATCTTGGCCCTTCTAGATCRAATTAGAATTTAGAAGTTGATTTTTCCATCGAAATTCAAACTCTACATAAAACAATAGAAATACGGCATGATGAATTTTTAAACCAGTTAAAACGCACGTGCTCGGGTATATACATTGATATTCAATGCAAACTCTCGCCCTTGCGTTTTGACCTTTATTTACAGCATCCTATTCTTGGTTTTCACTTACGTCATCATGAATTTCAAAAGCGTAAATTCGCATTATGATGAAATAAAAGTTTCATAATCTTGCAAAGCGGTCAAAACTACAAATACTGGCCAAATTTTAAGGCTGTAAAGCATTTCGTTGCGGAACTAGAGGCGAGTAAACATAACGCAAGTTTTGGTTAAAATGTATGGACCGGCCATCTTGGTATTCCAAGCTGGTACACTATTATGGCGGACGAAACTCCAAATGCTTAAGATGATGTAATTTTGAATATTTTTGACTATATTTCAATTAAATATACCTTAAATAGATCTTTAAAACGTGTCTAAGGGAAAATATTTTAACTAGAGTAAATTATTTTACTATTTTGATCGCTATTTAGATAGACGTGACGGCATTGCGTGACACAAACTCAACCTTCATAACTCGAGAACCAAACATCGAAATGACTCAAGATTTTTCTTGTGACTTATAACCCTGATTTCTAAAACATACTTGWGAAATGCCTTTATACGATCTATAGTTTAGAATTTGGTGTTTTGATGACGTCATGTGAAAACTGGCAATAGAACCTCATTATGTCCATGCATATTATTTTTATATTGCCATCCAAACGAGAAGTTACACAGAATTCGAGACTTAAAATGCAAATGAACCCTTTGACGATACATTCAGTACTGGTTCTGCATAAAGTAAATAGTTGATTGGTAAAATATTTCTTGATTTGAGAGATACGTCTCTAAGTTATGAAGGTTTTTACTGCAGTGTACGGACTTACATTCAGTACTGGTACTGCATAAAGTAAATAGTTGATTGGTAAAATATTTCTTGAATTGAGTGATGGGTCTCTAAGTTATGAAGGTTTATACTGCAGTGTACGGACTTAACCAATATTATAAAATCACTGCTATAAATCTCGTGTTGGGATTGGTTGTGAGCGCGTGCTTTGTGAGAGCACACAGCACGCGCGCGCACTTTCAGTTGCTTCATTCCTAACTAAAATAGCGGTTATTGTAATTTGTATTCTATRAAATAAAATAAAACTTTGCTTGCTGTGTGGAGTTTTAAAGCACTTGGAGATTGGCAGAACACTTGAGAGTGTCTCCAAACACTTCTTTCGTGTTTTGCCAACCCTTAGGTGATTTATAATTGCTCACAGCACACGCGCGCGTTCTCTCTTTTCCTTTAATACTCACCGGTTGAGTTGAGCAGGTTTCACTAGCTTCAACAAGGCGATGTCATTAGAGTACGTCCTTGGTCTTTTATAACTAGGATGACTAATAATCTTGGATACCTTAATGTCCTGTTCAGTGCCAACGTTATGAACACGTCTATGAGCTCCAAGCCTAAAGGAAAAGGTGATTTTGAAAGCAAGTTTCAGTTAGATAATATGTACGGGTAGTTTGTTTACATCTTCAATAGAACAAATGCATATTCTAGAGAGAAAAAACAACAACAACAACAACAAGAAACTAGAAATTCGAGTAGTACCGGATAAAGAAGGAGCGTGTTGTTTTCCCAGAGACACAGTGGGCAGCGGTGACAATCCATTGAGGATGAATCAGAGATCCACCACAGAAGGCGAATCTGGAATTAGTTGCCAGTTGAGCCTGCCAAGGCCATTCGCCATGCTTGGCTGCCGTACCTCCCACGATTCTTTTGCTTGGAGTGATGCCGCATAAACCTGAAACATATCAAATTGAGTTGAAAAAAATTCTCAGTCTTGAGTGGGATTTTAACCCGTGCCGTGCTCTAACCACTGAGCTACCAAGTATCATATTAGACTTCAAGGATACAATAGGTGGGTTTATCGGACCGATAGGATGTGTGTGTGTGTGTGTGTGTGTGTGTGTGTGAATATATAAATATATATTTGTACTGCGGTTGTAATGTATCAAATTGAGTTGATCCTCGCCGTATATGAAGCAACTTATGCAGCTGCAAATTGAATGAAACAGTTAATTAAAAATTCGAACTTAATTAAATTTGTCGATATATCTTTATAACATTAGTTGTATTTTTAAGCAATGCTCCTCTGGAAACCAGCGTCGTACCTGAATAGGTCACTGCAGTTAAAGAAAGTTTACATTTACAAGTTCTGATGGATCAAATTCCGCTTACCTAGCGATGCTGAGAGAAGACTTGAGAAACTGGAAACTATTCCACTTTGCGACGTTGTTTCCCAAGTTTCTCTAGTGTTCTTCAGCATCTCGATTATTTTCAAAAACCTTTTTAATATTTCTTTTTTAAAAATTTATCATTACCAATAATTACCAATTAGACATGAGAATGACACGTGGTCTGAAAAGGGAGAACTTCGTTATGACGTAAGTGCTATAAATACCTGCCCACACTGGAGGAGGAGGAGGAGTCGTAGGAACAGGAGGTCGTACTGCAAAAAATATTTAATTGTGGTTAAAAAGGAGACGATGGTAACATTGATATCGAAGGTGCAGACATGAAAACGAGTCATTTTCGGGCAAGGTGATAAGAGACCAATAAAAAACAAAGAAAACAATGTACAAAACAACAACAACAACAAAGTATTCAATAACTCATTCGGGGTTCCATTTATCAGATTAATAGGTTTTTGTAAGCTCTCTTTAATTAAAAATAACACTTGAAATCGCTGGTTGCGCATGAAAAAATCTGATATAACACATTCACTATAACTCATTTTAAAAACTAATATAAATAGTAGAAAAACAAGGAAGCCAAATTAAGTATTCAATAAATCCTTAAACTAGAATTGTTTCTGCATATATTCGGGGTTTCATTTACACCTACTTGCAAGGACGTTGATATACGAAAATAGAACATTAGTAATTTAGTGAGAAAGGAATACATTAAAAGACAAAAGAAAAAGTTCAGCTTCAGTGATTTTCTTTTGTTTTTTAATATAATTCCTATCCCACTAAATCACTAATGTTCTATTTTCGTATGTCGATGTTCTTGCAAGTCGGTGTATATATTAATAGGTTTTTGTAAGATCACTAATAAAAAAAGAATTGACATCCCTGGCTGCGCATGGARAAATCTGACTACATATTCACTATAATTCATTAAGAGAGAATTCTTTTCGTATTCAAGCAGTGAGCTCCAAAAACTATTTTCTTGAAGAAAGGCTGTTGTACAAGGCTAAAATCTTGTTATTCAGAAAGTTTAACTTGTTTGGAAGTGGAGATGACCAGTGAAAGTGGAATCAAAGTATTAATCCAAAGCAAAAATTTTATTCGAAAATGAGGTTTAGGGCTTCAGTTTGCTTATTTTCCATATATTTTCTATAAAAAAGCCTGACAAAGCAACATTGTAACACAGATGCAACAAAACATCTTTGTACAATTGAAAATACCGCTTCAAACAGGCATTTGATCATAGTACATCAGTTTCTAACTGTTTAAAAAAGGTTTTGAGTGTTAAAACGAAAATTGGGATCAAAACTCATACGAAAGTCTAGTTTTTGGCGCATTTTGACATTATTGCTCGTTATTGAAAAAAATATCCTATTAAAAAATAATTCATTAAAAAATTTAAATGGTAGAAAACCTAGAAGAAAAACAAGGAACTTGAAACTATTCATAACTTCAGCAGCACTTCGCGCGCGCAGATGGCGTCAGCACTGTGCTCCGTTCACTATAAAGCACAGTTTTCGACCAGCCAGCGCGCGCGTACTATCCTAACTATATATTAAAAAAAGGTATAAAAGGTACCTGAACCACAAGTTGAGATCCAGACATCATCGATAGCAATATCTCCGTTATATAATATTCCACGAATACCTTCAAATGACAGCTGTTGTAAGAAAATAAATATCGCTTAGATTTCGATTCCTCAAGAGCCCATTACACGAAGCGTATAACTCACTTGACTTCCTTGGGAGCCATCAATGTCATTGTTCCCACAGCTGGTGCGAATATTCAAGAACCTATGATAATTTATTGGTCTCGGTTGTACTTCCCCCGACGTTTGGCTGCTCCCTTTACCCCGCCGTCCCTACTTAAAACTGCTTTACAGTCCCTCGAGAAATAGAGAATTCGAACAAGGCTATGTCCGCTAGGATGGTGGAACAAACAAGAAAAGCTAATGAGGAATGCTTTGTTATCGTCAATTAAGATGGCGGCTATGACGTCATGKTCAAACGAAGAATCCGCCAAGGGTCGTAGGTTCAGGGAATATGAATTCTTTTTGAGTTCCTTATGTCTATTTTCATTGCTTTGTACATACACTTATTTCAATAAAGTTAGTCAACAAAAACCTAGAAAGCTGTGATCGCTGAGAATCATGGGAAATATTTCATATTCAACAAGTAAAGGTTTCGACACAACCTGCAGCGGTTGAGGATGCTCCGAGGAGGTGAACTTGTAACTGGTAGAAGATCTCAAGTCCATCAACAGTTATCAAGCGGTCAAAAGGTTAAAACATGTATCTACCCATAATCCTTGTCGGTCTCAGCTTTGTAGATTTTGGGTGACTAACTTTATTGAAATAAGTTTATATATCGTTATTATATTTGAAAGAAAAAAATATTGTTTTTATTTTTGGCATTTCAATCAATCAATCATTTCTGCACACTGCAATTATATTTGTCTCAAAAGTTTGAAAGTCAAATTTTTCAATATTTTTCATACTTTTTGAATCTTGACTTATGTGCACACATAAATAGAGCATGTGCAGTAGGCTTTTTTTTCTGTCAAGCATCCATGGCCTGCGGCGAAGAACAAGGCCTATGGCATAATCCATTTTTTGACACAAGCGCACTATTCCGGAAGTGAAATATAATTGTGAGAGAATGATAAGGACTGGGCTCCCTGTGGAGGGAGTTTGAGTGACATGTGAGAGAAGAGACGTGAGAGCACGAGAGATGTGTTTGGAGAAAAGGATGTTGTGAGAGAGAATCGGAATTGTAAAGAGGATAAACTCGTTATTTGGATTAAATCTTAAAGCAGGRGTTGGAGACTATATTCATAAATTATCGTACAATAATCAATGAAAAGTATGCTTTCAAACAGAGGTTTGTGTTTACTTCCGATCGAATTAAAAATCAAAAATCGGGAACAATTTTTTTGGAAAGTCTTTTAATGCATGCGCTATTACACCGGAAGTCCAAGAAATCCTGGACTCAAAACATGGATTATGCCAGAGCCCTGGTTCTTCGCCGCAGGCCAGAAGAAACGCAGGCTCTGGGAACGAGATTGATAAGCATTCCGTTTTCAAAAATAAAAAAGGTCTAAGTCGGAGTTTCAATCAGGTGTTAAAAGTGTTTGAATTCTCGTTATCGGCTCCAATTAGAGTTCATGCCCACCACCATTCTGTCAAAAAATGGCGCATTCCGTACGAGACAGGAAATGACATCAAATAAACCAATAAATTTACCCTTTGTGATCCACTTTGAGTTAAACGCACTTCGGCTTCCTTCCATGGTTGCCCTTGACTACCAGACTTGCTAAACACCTTAGTGTTACCAATATACACGTTCAGAGTACCAATATGAGCTCCATTCATTTGATAGAAGAACTTGAGACATTCCTTGCCAGTGAGAGTCACTTGTTTATCGAGAACAGCATTATCACCCTTGACTCGTGGATAAGATGTTTCAATGTACATGTAGTAGCCTGCAATTGCACAAGATCATTTTCAAGACCAAATCTTTCAAACCTTTTACTTGTCTTTTAAACCTACATGTAAGAACCTAGAAGTGTTTATTTGAAATTGAATTTGTTTTATTCTTCTTTGAGTACGTACGTAGTGTATAGATATAATCAACCTTGCGTAATTTTCCCTTTTCAAAATTCAACCTTTTATGAAGCAATTTCTGAGCTGATCTAAGTCAGGGCATGGTTTACTCACCGATTGAACCCTGAAACAACCTTT